TGGAGCTGATCAACAGCTCACATGAGTAGGAGCTGGAGCTGGTTAACAGCTCAAATGAGTAGGAGCTGGAGCTGGTTAACAGCTCACATGAGTAGGAGCTGGAGCTGATCAACAGCTCACATGAGTAGGAGCTGGAGCTGGTTAACAGCTCAAATGAGTAGGAGCTGGAGCTGGTTAACAGCTCACATGAGTAGGAGCTGGAGCTGATCAACAGCTCACATGAGTAGGAGCTGGAGCTGGTTAACAGCTCAAATGAGTAGGAGCTGGAGCTGGTTAACAGCTCACATGAGTAGGAGCTGGAGCTGATCAACAGCTCACATGAGTACGAACTGGAGATGGTCACCAGCTCTTTACTACATTTACTCACAGTTCACGAGCTTGAACTGTCACACCCCTACTCACTAGGCTTATATTCTGTAGGGGTTTAATTAATAAACAGCAGAATCTCTTGCTTATTTGTTCTCAGTAACAATACAGGGCACTTTATCGCAACAGTTCGAAAGTAATAGAACTACTTTAGTACAACGCGAGCTCCTGATAGCGAATATCACGTATAAAGCATTATAAAACCACGGTATCATGGCATTCTAGACCTGTGGAGATCCTATTTCTCGTAAAAAGAGACCTTTCCTGGGCATCCTCATCATTTTTTTAGTGAAATACTTTCATGAGCTGGTACCGTCAGATTAGAATCTATATGTGCAGCGCTGCCAATTTCCGAACGGATAAAAAGTTTCAAAGTACTGCACCATTCCACGGAATTGCAGGAAGTGAGATGACATATATTTCGCACGTACTCGACTTGGCCTATTAGAAAAACAGGTTTTCGCCTTTATCCAAGTACTTTCGAAACAGACGAAAATCACCTGGTATTTTACTGGAAAAACACTTTTTAATGTGCTTGGACAGGGGCAAAAAGCTGTTTTTCTAATAGGCCACATCGAGTACGTGCGAAATGTATGCCATCCCAAGTCTTTCAATCCCGTGGAATGGCGCAGCACGTACTGAAACTTTGAAAAACAATGAAAATCGCCTTTAAAAGTTGTTTTTTTCTATCCTTTTCGATCTCAATGAGAACCATTTCATCAGATAGAGCTTGAAAAGATGCATCGAATACGTATCCTGTTGTCATGTCTTAACATGATTTTAGGGGTGAAGTATGGTTTACAAAAAAGGCCTACTTTTCGGAGAAAATGATTTTTTTAAAAGTTCTCCTGAAAACGTGCTTAGCATTTTGAAACTTTTTGTCCGTTAGGAATTTTGTAGCGCTGTGCATACAGATTCTAATCTGACGGTACCAGCTTATGAAAGTATTTCACTAAAAAAATGATGAGAATGCCCAGGAAAGGCCTCTTTTTCCGGGAAATAGGATCTCCACAGGTCTAGAAGGCCATGATACCGTGGTTTTATAATGCTTTATACGTGATATTCGCTATCAGGAGCTCGCGTTGTACTAGTTCTATTACTTTCGAACTGTTGGGATAAAGTCAATGTAAACGTGGTACGCTCTCGGAAGAATAACCCGTATGCGCATATCGTAGGCTAACGTTTCATTGACAAACAAACGAGATATATGTGTACATTTCATCAAGGTGTTCTTTTCTTTTTCATCGTTGTATCAAAAGAGAAAGAAGTGAACGGCTTGTCCTCATGTACCTAACACGTTAGGCGTCATCTGCACATTACGTAACCATTGTTTCAATTTTTAGATACTGTGTTCGTTACCGATTGCCACTAAATTGTTTTAATCTGACCGATATCGATAATTCTACGCAAATCGCAGATTCGTATATTTTCTCGCTGCTGTGCTATAGACCTATTGTTAACAGGCTCTGCCCAAGTCTCGGGAAGGCCTAGGCATGCACCAATACAATATATTGGGACCAATAATATTGGTCACCAGATATATTGAGTTTTCACAATATTATTGAATATCGGGTCGCTTGAGTTCGACCTACTTTTCGATTATTATGTAGTACAGACGCATCCTTTACATCCCGTTTTGAATCAAAATATAACCCAATTAGGCATGCACCGTTTAATAATCGATATTAGGGCATTCAGCAAAGTGGTTCCAAATCAGTTATAAAAAGCACGTAGAACTCCCGAATGTCTCCTTTTGTAGAAAAATGTTTGCTCTACCAAACTGAAGTGCTACACATTTTTTCATGTTATAACGGACTAAAAACGTAGAAAAATAATCGATAGTCGCTTTTTTCGCAATTTTGCTAAGTTTTCGATACTTATACTTCTGCCGCAGATAATACTAAAATGTCTTTTTGCACTTCAGTTTGGTAGAGCAAACATTTTCCTACAAAATGAGACATTCGGCAGGGCTAAGTGCTTCTTTATGACTCAGTCGGAACGACTTTGCTGAATGCCCTAACATCTATTATTAATCGGTACATGCCTAATCCAGATCGGGATATGCTTCCTCACGTTCGTATGAAGGTAAGTGATATTAAGGTTAAAAAGTTGGAATCCAGTGTGTTGTGGAACCCAATATTACCCAATATTATTGGTCCCAATATATCGGATATATAATAATATTGGGACCCAATATTACTGGATAGCCAATAATATTGTACGATATCTCCAATAGTGATTGGTATTGGTGCATGCCTAGGAAGGCCTATTCATGATTTGATTCATCGCGAAGCAGCGTTGTACTTTTTGAGAGATCATTCATCGATGTCAATGAATGTCAGATGATTTGATGCGACTCCTCATACCGAATGGTGGAATAATGTTAGAAATTAGGTTCTACCAGTCCGAGCCAGAATAGTTTAAAATGCCTATCTACCACAAAAATGAGGTTCAAGTTTGAGAAAACTCGACGCAGAAACATATCTGCGTGAGATTTGTATAAAATAGAAACATAGCTAAATAGAGAAATATTACCTCTATATGGTTTGTACGAAAAACTGTTTTTTATCTTCTAACTAGAAAAGATTTAACCTGTACAAGACAGGACCCCCCGATGTTTTACGTGTGTTTACCGCCCCCCTTCTCTGACTCAATGGCGTTTTTGTTGTGAAAGAGGAGAGAGAGATCGGCAGAAGTACCCCTTATGTTTGGGTCATGCACTGGTGATCACTGCAGAGGTGACGCAAGAGATAATGAAGGAAAAAAAGCCTTAGTTATCTGTATTTCTTTCTTTCTTTCGGCCAGCTCAGCCGACGTCAAAAAAGTGCAACCAAACTTCTCTTTCATCCTCGCCAAAAATCAAGCATGAATGATCAGTAGAACAGCAAGACAAAATGTTGTGTTCCCTGCAGATCTGTTTCTCCTTATTTTTCGTTCGAATTTTCGTCAAACATAGTAGCGATCGCATTTATTTCGTTTTGTTCAGTTATTAATACAGACAATCTTGATTGTTTAGACACACGATAACTAACACAAGAAAAATGGGCAATACTACATCTACTTCTAAACGGAGTAAAAAGAAAAGCTCAATCAAAGACCACCAGACAAATCATGCCAATCAATCACCCTTTGTCGAGCACACAACAAATGATACCAATCAATCACCCGTTGTCGAGCACACAACAAATGATGCCAATCAATCACCCGTTGTCGAGCACACAACAAATGATACCAATCAATCACCCGTTGTCGAGCACACAACAAATGATGCCAATCAATCACCCGTTGTCGAGCACACAACAAATGATGCCAATCAATCACCCGTTGTCGAGCACACAACAAATGATGCCAATCAATCACCCGTTGTCGAGCACACAACAAAAGAAGAGCCGTTCACCCCGCAAACCATTTGGAATCCAGCATCCAACGAATTTAAACTTGGAGACAGCCCGCAAAATGTCAATTCCTATCTTCCGAAAAAGTTTTCTGTTCCGATTTGGGCGCATCTGCCACGAGCTGATGAATACAAGCAAGATGTGGTCAAATATTTTTGGTTAAAACTGAGCGAATTTGGGGATGAAATTACAAAATTTATTCCACCGAATGTATCCATAAAAGAATCGAGCTATGTCTGCTTTTTATTTTTCGATCAAAAATTATTTCGTATTTCCATTCGATTATTTCATGATGGCCAGCATCAGAATTATGATGAAATAATCGAAGCATATGCTAAAGCAGTGAATACTCCGATAATCACAACTGAAAATGGAAAGAAATTCTACTATGAAGACAACAGAATCGCCTATTTTTCACGTTTTTCAACAGATAAAAGTCATAGTCTCATTGAAGTTATTCGAAAAGATCAGACAACGTCGGACGATGGCCATCAGTATTTTCGTTCAGCAACTCATCACCAGTCACGTAAGTTATCTATTGAACCATTGATCTTACGCAGGTATGCAACAGTCCCAAGCCAGAGCTCACGATCGGCAACGAACATGTTTGGCCACCGAACGGTGCACTACCTAAGGTTTAAAAAGATAGTTGTCAAAGCTAAGAACGCGAGAGGGAAAAAACACAAAAGAAATTCCTGTAAAACGGAAAAAATGGTGAGCATTACACCAAACGAAGGAATAGCTTTGATTACGCCGTAGCCGTAGGTAGTTATGTAAAGAAAGGTTTGCATTAGAGCAGCAACTTTATATTTAGTTTATTACAGTAAGCTCAAACTACCTTTAGTTTCCATTATATCTCATTTACCCTCTGACTAAAGCATATTCAGGAAAGGGTCTTATCGAGTTAAAATGCCTGTATGTTTGTATGTCTGCAGACAAGATACTAGCGACACAAAACTAGTAGAGCAAAACTTGATTGGGTGAAAATGATAGTCGACTATGGGGAATCAGAAAATGAGTATGCGCGACCTCTACGGTGAATCCTATTAGTCGAAAACATGATTTCTACTTGAATGGATGAAACTGATATGGAGTAGGTAGTCGACTATGGGGAATCAGAAAAGGAGTATTTCACGATGGCGATCATATCTATTGGTCTAAATGTTTATCTCAGCTTCCGAGTTCAGGAGAAAGTCCGCGTCGCGGCGACTTGCCGTTTCACCAATGAGACTGCTTCTCTCAATTTACTATCAACTTGACGAGTATCGCTCTGTGACTCACTCACACATCCACCCCGCCGCCCCCTCCCCCTGACTGACTGACTGTCTGTCTGCCTGTATGGTATGACAATCTGTATGAGTGACTATCTATTTGAAAGAGTGACTGACTGACTGTCTGTCTGCCTGTGTGGTATGACAATCTGTATGAGTGACTATGTATTTGAATGAGTGACTGACTGACTGACTGACTGTCTGTCTGCCTGTGTGGTAAGACAGACAGTCAGTCAGTCAATCAGTCACTCACTCAAATAGATAGTCACTCATACAGATTGTCATACCATACAGGCAGACAGACAGTCAGTCAGTCAAACATATAGTCACTCATACAGATACACGTCCCATACAGACAGACACATAGATACTAACTCGAGGCGACTTCTCATTCATAGCACTTTTTCCACTAGAAACGAGAAATCGCAACGTTGTGGACTTTCCCATCCTATGGAGCTTCGCTGAATGAAAATAATCTGGGGTAGGTAAACAACTATGGAGAATCAGAAAATGCGTATAAGTGACCTTTAGGATGGATTGCATTTGTCGAAAACTTCATCTCAATTTCATTGGATGAAAATGGTATGCAATAGACATGCGACTGTAGCGAATCAGAAACTGAGTGTGAACGACCTGTACAATGAATCCTATTGGTCGAAAACGTCATCTTAACTTCGCTGGATGAGAATGATGCGCAATAGGTATTCGACTATGGGAATCAGAAAATGATTTTGACCGGTCTGTAGGATCGATTATACTAGTCGAAAAGTTCTTTTGAACTTCATTCCATGAAAATGAACACCAAAGAGTCATCTAGGGCAGAACAAAAGTTACAGAATATAGGTAGTCTATAATGGCGAATCGGGTAGTGATGCATTCAGGGCCCTTGGCATCTTCAAAGGGTGTCCAGAAAACGTTTTACGTTGATATTAGATGGTACGCTATGAGAGAAGTTCATAATATTTCTCAGGTATCCTGGTTGCGAACGCCGACCGAAGGAGGGCATGAGCATTGTCTTCAATTTAAAAATAGTACTAGACCTCTTGGGATCTTTGGAGGATCTCATGAAAACCTTTTAGCATCACATTATATTAAGAAGCTTACGCATCAAATCGGAGAAAAATTCACGGCATATTTTAGATAGTTCCCCCACTCTGTTAGAGCATAGACACAAGTTATTAGTGGACAGACAAACGTACACGTCAAGACATAATACGAGAGTGATTAGAAATAAGAATTTAAGAATTGGGAATGTGGCTCATTTATCTCTTGCGTTGCAAGAACAACGATAGTCGTTAGAACTGTCGTAGTATTAATCTGCTGCTTGTTGAGAATGTTCTTCAGACTGTAATGTGAACAAGAAAGATAATTATTTATTCTGTAGAAACAATTTGATACTGGCAATTCCTTTCCAGTCAAGGATAAGTGAATCAGAATGATGAGCGCTACTTGTTTTACTAATGTGGCCTCTGTAACAGATCAATTAATTTTGTTTTCATGCAAAAATGCTTTTCCTCACTGTACAAATAAAGTAGACACAAAGTTGGAGCCCTAATTCGAATGTATCAAGTTGCCAGGCCGAGCATGTCCAGTAGCAAATCGTCCGGTGCCCGAACATGTTCGGCCATCGAATTATCGGATTGGTGCATCTCCTAAACACGAGTTTTGCACATATTAATGTTTTCCTTTCACTTTCGCACTTTTACTCGAAAAACAGTTTTTGCTGCAAACAAAAGCGTGAATAACATAGATTTCTTTTGTTCTGATATGTATGTGTTAAGAACACGTGTACACAGAATATGTGTCACAATTGTTATCTCATCTAAGTCGTGTAAATATGGCATAATCATAACTAACGAAAAAAAAATGCACTATACCACATTTACTTTTAAAGAAAGAAAAGAAGAAAGATCAATCAAAGACCACCAAACAAATAATGCCAATCAATCACCCGTTGTCGAGCACACAACAAAAGAAGAGCCGTCCACCCCGCAAACCATTTGGAATCCAGCATTCAACGAATTTAAACTTAGAGACAGCCCGCAAAATGTCAATTCCTATCTTCCGAAAAAGTTTTCTGTTCCGATTTGGGCGCATCTGCCACGAGCTGATGAATACAAGCAAGATGTGGTCAAATATTTTTGGTTAAAACTGAGCGAATTTGGGGATGAAATTACAAAATTTATTCCACCGAATGTATCCATAAAAGAATCGAGCTATGTCTGCTTTTTATTTTTCGATCAAAAATTATTTCGTATTTCCATTCGATTATTTCATGATGGCCAGCATCAGAATTATGATGAAATAATCGAAGCATATGCTAAAGCAGTGAATACTCCGATAATCACAACTGAAAATGGAAAGAAATTCTACTATGAAGACAACAGAATCGCCTATTTTTCACGTTTTTCAACAGATAAAAGTCATAGTCTCATTGAAGTTATTCGAAAAGATCAGACAACGTCGGACGATGGCCATCAGTATTTTCGTTCAGCAACTCATCACCAGTCACGTAAGTTATCTATTGAACCATTGATCTCACCGCAGTCGGACAAATATGACATAATGATTTCTTACTCTCATCATGAGAAAGAAGTTTGTCATCGTCTTTACTACCGTTTACTCGAGAGCAAGTTTCGCGTATGGATAGATCTCGAAAATATGTATGGTCCAATCGTCGAACGAATGGCAG